GACGCTTACCGACACTCCTTTTGACTTTTGCAAAGACGGTAGTGCTTACTTTTGATGCTCGTTACAGCAAGCTGTCATTCACTTCAAATAATAAGTGGGCACTTGTTTGTACTAGCTAGCGTTTTTCTTTGGCGACTAAAACTTTTTTTGGACAAGTATCACCTCACGTCTATGCAGCCTGCAGTCTCGTTTTCATTTCATGCCTTAAAAATGATCTATTCATTAATTTACCCCAGCTTTCCAATTAAGGACTTTTCCATTTAACAAAAGGAAAAAGGAGATACAAGTTTGCAGATTAAATGTCAGGAAAAATTATAAATGAAAAAAGACATTTTTTACATGTTACAATGCGTTTCTTTGTTTTTAAAATTAAGATGTGTCAGCATGTAAGGGATGTAGTGTTATGGAATCACCTTTTATCTGAGCACCAGGGATTCCTTTATCGCAAAAAAGACAATGCCAAGTGAGGTAAAACTTCTGAAATGTTAGAATTGAAAAAGAGTTCAAGTGTTGCAAAATCCCTCACAGATTCAAGGGTAACAATTAATGTCCATTGTGCATTTGAGAAGACTCAAAAGTCTGTGGGGTAAGGGGAGAGATTAGTGGAAACATTAGTGCGCTTATCTTACACTGGGTGATATGATAGAGGAGAAGAAGGGAAATGTTTGACGTCACAACTAAAAAGAAGTATACATAACTGTACAACGTAGTAAAACTGAGGTGTAAAACGACAAATAGGAATGGCATCAAATTTTGTCTCGAGCTTTGATAATGAAACTTTTTTTCTAATTGAAAGGTTTCATAGGCTCAGTGCAATGTTCATCTCCTCTGTGGCTCTTGATGAACTCTGGGTTGACGCTACACTGCCGAGTCTGTTAACTAACCCTTCTTACCAAAGATGGTGGATTAATTAAAAGGGATTGGGGCTTTCCAGTACTGAGCTCCAGTTACATCTTCCCTGTTTAAACCTTGGCGCTTAGACTTTCATTTAAATCTTTTTTTCAACTTGCACTGCACAGCTCTCTTAATATGTGTGTTACACACACACACACACGTCAGACTTTACAATGAAAAGTTTTGGAACATTTCAGGACTTAGCCTCTCAAGCTTAGGTCTAAATTAAAAACACCACTGAATTATTACACTCTGTAATGTGGGCAGAGTGAGAAAGAGAGAGAGTACATAAATTATTTGGAGTGTCAGCACATAAAAAGTTAGAGCTATAAATGGTGTATGAAGCGCCACCTTACTACTTCCTGACACATGGTCAGATGTCCTGTTAACCAGGAACAGAAGGTCATGGTCAGGTATGGGCACAAAAAATTAAATTAAATTAAAATTTTTAAAAAAAGCAAAAGTCTGAGAAATGCGTATGTACATAAGCAGCGAGCCTGCTCCCTCTAACGACTATAAAATACAGCATCTCTCTCTAATTCTCTTGGCCAAACTTTTACTTTTCTTCTTCCCGTTTTTCTCTTTGCTGTCCTCCATTTTTCTTGCCCGGATCTCTCTCATTAGGTCGAAAAAAACCTGTTAACAGGAGAACATAAAAAACACAAGTGTTCACATTTCTGTGTTTATGTGTTTGTTTTGCTTGGTGTCCGCATAGGAAGGAATTATTATGTTCAGCAAGTTAAACAAACCTTGTCAACATTGGCACGAGTTTTGGCCGAAGTCTCCACGTAGCACACGCCCCACTGCTCTGCACGTGCCTTTGCCTCATCTGCGCTAACCTGCCGTCGGTCGTCCAAGTCTGACTTATTACCAACCAGGAGAAAGGGCACATTCTCATCCTCCTTCACTCGCAGAATTTGCTCTCTGCAAAATGAACAGGAAATCTCATTCAGCCGTGAATTATGTAAATAAACAGAGCGCTGCATGGTAAATGCACAAAATCCTTACTCATATGAGTCAAGTCAACCTGACGGAAGAAAAACCTTGAGTTGTGATGAAGTATCAAAAAAGCAAAGGAAGAAGAATAGCTTAATTACATCCTAATGGATGGGTAAGTGCTTCATTAAAAGAATCTAAGTGGCTGCACCTGAAGTCTACTGTTGCTGCAAAAGACTCCAGCTCTGTGATGGAAAATACGCAGAGGAAACCCTCGCCACTTCGGAAGTAGTTATCCCGGATGGCTGCGTAGTCCTCTTGCCCGGCTGTATCAAGGATGTCAATTTGCACCTCCTCTCCATCCAGCACCACTTTCTTCCTGTAACTGTCTGCTTTAGTGGGCTCGTAGTCTTCAACAAACTAGAAAACAGAAAGAGATCCATTATGCCAGAGTTTTTTTTATTAAAACCTCAAAACTGGAATTTCAGTTGAGTACTGTAATGTGAGCAGCTCACCTCATCATACATGAACTGGAGTGTAAGAGCTGATTTGCCCACTCCTCCACTGCCAACCATTATCACTTTGTGAAGGGCTAGAGAGTTCTGCCCTTTTGGCTTTGCAGCTGCCATGGCTCTGTGTACCGAAAGATGCAAGTATCAAAGGGAGAAAGTGCAAGATGGCGGGAAGGGATTGTGAAATGTGAGGACTGCAAAAATCAGATCCAAAGACTGCCGGTCCAACAAAGGGCTGAATGATAGTTCCTGTGGAGAATTTAAAAAAGAAAAGAAAAAAAGAGAAAGATGTTGCATCATATTTTCCAGTGCCTCCAGGTTCCATTTCTGCATTTTGATTGCACAGTCATCATGGTAATAAATCCCAAACCAATAAAAGGCTAAAAAGCAGAAACTACAATTAGACTTGAGACGTCGCACAAAAGAATGATTCTCGGTAGCTTAACAAGAATGCAGGAAACATTGTCATGACAAAAGACTGACGCATTAGAAATGCAAATTTATTTTCATTATAAATTCTGCTCTGAAGCCATTTGCCTGTGCAAATAGCACCTATCCCTTACTGCCTTAAGCAGTATTACTTTCCTCTTTACAAACGCGACCGCAATACCACTTGACCTGTTAACAATTCAGGCCATAAGTATTCAGAAGTAACAGAAATCCGATCACACAAATTGTAAACGTGGCTCTAATTTCCAGCTGTACATTTTGTTTTTACATCTTGGTTAGTTGTAAAACACAAGCTGGAGAAAGCAATAGAAGTGCAAGTTACTATTGGTAGAAATATTACCCCTGGCATAATTTCCTCATACAAGAGACAAGAAATAATTTTCTTGTCCATGCAAAGACATTTACTAATCGATTTTATTTATTAATTTTTCCCTCTCAGATGTCTGAAGGTACACAAAGATTTGAAAGATTTATGAATATGTTGTTTGAGTCAGTTTTAGGCCTAGTCCAGCAAGGGGATTCCTAACTTCTCCCAAGAAACTAACTCTTTAATTCCTGTGTAAAAACAGTTGTTAAGGTTATACCAAACAAACTGGTCGAAACATGACCCTCACATCACAGATGCACTGGCCAATCTACAACATAGCAAAAGGGTACATTTAACATAATCTTAAACCTCTTTTGCGTGTTGCTAAAATACCGAAACACAAATACCAATTCAGAAAGGCGTCTTGTGGGTGCAGTACTTTTGGCAGCCAAGTGTCACTACAAATACATATTGGAGCCTGAGGACCAAATACTGCTTGTCAATAGCACAGAAAAGGTAACGTTAACTACAAATAAAGCACACAAATTCCACTAATAGAACAGTTTTAAGTGAACCTGCCCTAAGAAAAGGGAGACAAGTTTTGAAAAGTTGGCAGTACTTTATATGTCTTTGACAACAGTGGATAAAATGTGACACATGATAAAGCCATTGAGTGGCCTCTTTTCCATACTGGACTGTCCAAGAACACTATGGAAAATGCATACTGTCCAGAAATGTGTGCTCAAGCCCTTTCCTAAAGGCCAACACAAACCCTTTTTTGTGGGGGGGGGGGGATAAGCATGGGCTTGCAGCCAATTCGTCACTACACAAATTAACATAAAAGGTTTATATTTACTGCAAGTCAATAGTACTATAAAGAATTGAAGGAATGTTGCTTTACTTTCATCTTTTAAAGCTGCAAACATCTCTTAACAAGTTGTTTTGAGTGGAAGTGAAAAGGGAACTATTAACGAGTCAGTCGTTCTGGGCTTGGAGAGGCGTTTAACAACAATTTCTAAACAAACCCAAGTCACCTTATGTAAAGACAGGGAGACTGTAGAGACAATACTATGCCTTCAGTTTACAATCATCAGCACAAATGTGGGTGGAAAGTCAATACACCAGTTAGACAAATTAGTCAGCGAGTCATTATTTAGCAAATAAAAAACAAACAAGACGCCACACCATAAGCACACCAAGAATACAAAAAAACAAAATACTATACACAAAAAAACTATACATAACATGAACTGAGAAATCAACTATTTAACCAACTATTTCAATAAAAGAAACTAGCACAGCAAATGTCAGTGTACACGTCCCTAACAACAACGTTAACTTATTAGCAACTTAGCTGGTTGACTGCTGGGCAATGTGGCTAACAAGCTAACTATGCTACCGGGCAGGTAAATGCCACCTGACATCAAAGTAACATTTCAGGATGAAGATAACATCTGAAAGACACGTCTCTAAAAGCGGATATTCTGCAACAGATGTTCGCTCGTTGCTTCCAAACTCAGTAGCTTCCTCGTTAGCGAGGGCGAGTGTGGACACACGGGGGGGGTAAAGGGGAAAAAACGGCTAGCGAGCAGCTAATCATAACTAAATGATGCGACGCTAATAAAACTGAAAGACAAGCAGGGTCCGTTGCACCAGTACCATGTCTTGTATTAACACAAATCCAAAAATAAACAGCACTCACCTTGGCAAAAGGTCTGATGAAGCGGAATTTAAGGTGGCGAAACGAAACGACTCAGCTAGCTACTTGTTAGCTCATGGCTAGCTTTCTAGCTAACTCCAGAGACCCGGCTGGTAGCTGTTAGCAGCAGACTGACTGCACGTCCTGTGGGCTTGGCTCCGACTGACAACGCCCGCCTGCTTGGGAGAAGCACACAGCGTCTCACTTTGACTTTAGTATGTGAGTGTAATATTTTCTTTCAGATAAAAAAAAATATAGCCCCGGGTATGAACATATCAGATAATTACCCTCGCAGTTGAGCATACAGTACAATGCAGATTAGGAACAGCGGATGAAAGGTACCACATAACTGATTAACTGGCTAATCCGCATAAATAGTGGCAGGTTTGTTCAAAAGGAGAAGAGTGAAGAGACCTCCACATGCCAGGTATGTCGGTTTGAATATAGTGTTCTCACTAAATAAACACACAATTTAAGTAAAAAAAATGCGCAAATGTAAATAAAACATCTTAAAATGGGAAGAAAGTTTAATTTTATTTTTTCCCATTAATCTCCTGTTTTTCGACGCTTTAGTGATGATGGACAGGGTCACAATTCCAGAGCTGCGTTTGAAGTTTGCAGAGAAGAGTTGGGCTGACACTTTTCAGCTTGTCCGAAGGTGTATGGTGAGGCAGACTTCATTAAATAAAAATGAAAATGCCTCTACTCAAATGGTCTATTTGAATCATTTTAGTTGTATGGTTAGGGTTTTTTTGTTTGTTTTTTTTAAATCTCGTCTTACGCAAAATAGATTTCTCATTTTTATTTCTAATTTAAACTAAGACCCCCTCCTTTGTTTTGTTTGGGGTTTTAAGGGGGTACGTTGCGTTATGTGGCTGGTTAGTGCATGGCTCTGCTAATATGATAATGTGGTGTGAACTGGTGTGGCTATCCACTCAGAATGAGATCATTCATCCTGGAACACACACGGCTTTGTTTTTTTGATCAGCGGTCTTTTTTCTTCTTCTCTTTTTTTTGCATTGACTGGTATCACTTAAGCTACTTGGATTTACTTATCAAGCACCTGGTACAGTGTATGGAGTAAAGCCTTCAAATCAAAACAAAGTAGTTTGACTGTGGGTTGTTGGTTATCTTTATGGCATTGGCTTTGATTCCACTATTTAACACCATCCCTTTTGGCCAGACATGCACTACTGCTGGCTTAATTAATTTTCCTTTGCACTATTTATCGATTCTTAAATAGAGGATGTCCCTCTTGTACATGTATATTATTTGGTTAGAGGTTTGAGAGTTCAAGCACTGACATGAGGCAAACGGGCTGTACTCTGCAGTCACTATAATTATTGTTCTATCTGTATGCTGGGCCTCTGTGAGAAGAGAGGGTTGGTTAGTTTTCTTTAGATTTGTCATGGGTGGAGCAGCAGGGTAGATAATACTTTTGGATTAATGTGGAGTGGAGCTTGGCAGTGGTCAGTCTCTGGAGTGTGTTGAAGAAATGTGATTACTTGGTGGTCTGAAGTGATGTGTGGTCCAAAGGGATAAGGCATCTGGGGCTAGTTATCAATTTCTCTTCCAGCAGTGATCTTAAAGAGAACTTGTGAAGAAGTGGGGTTCTTCTTCTTCTTCAAAAAATTAAGTACAATAATTTCAAACTCCTAGTTCCAAAACATTTGTTTCATTAAACACACACATCCCAGTATGAAAAGCATGCAAATGTCAGTGTTTTCCTTGAGATGGTGTCATGCAGTTTGTGTTGCATGGTGAGATGGGCAGACAGGACCAAAGGCTGTTTGCACAAGACTTTGCTTTTGCCATACAAACAGTCCATTGTTGTTTTCTTTGTCTCTCGCCTTTGTTCCTTTAATAGGAGAAATCCAGAGATGAATCCAGATCCCATAAGCCACTGGAAAGATCCCTGGAAAAACTCCAGGAAGAATCAAACGGTATGTGAGTAACATGTGTTGTTTTTTTTGTTTTTTTTTAAGTATTTTTACTTTACATAAGTAAAATGAATCTCGTTATGTTTCAGTGTGCACCATCAACACCACAAAGCTCCGCCTAGAGATTATCGCAAAACAACAAGGGTATAAAACTGACCTCCATGGCTTTGTTTTTGCTTTTTAGACTCATATCTTTCCTCATCTGTTTTTCTATTAATCTACTGTGATGACACCTTGTTATCCATATGAATCTTTTCTCCCAAGGATGAGTTTTCACTTTGCTGAGGCCACGTGCTATTTATCAGCTGATTTATTCTACGTTGAGGTATTGTTGTTGCCGTGTGGTGAAGTGGAGGAGGTGAAGGTGGTCCCTCACGGAGAATCCCCTGTTGTAAGTGGACTGTGCTGTTTCCAGCAAGTCATTAGAACTTCTCACCTTTTGCTAATCATGCTGATAAAATAAAACTGTCTCTTAGCCCAGTGAATCCCTGCTTCAGCTGCTAAGGTAAGGGAATGGATTGCTTTTAAATGTACATTTTTCTTGCAGTAAGCAGTGCCATTATCCACTAAATTTTTTTAAGAGCATAATGACAGCACTAATGGTTTTAGCTCTATTTGCTGATTGTGCTGCTTTCTGGGTGCCCAGGTCCAAAAACTTTGCCGCCTTCTCCCTGAAGTTACAAGGCCTCTTTGCCCAGTACAACATCCCTGGAGACAAGTGCCTACCTCAGCTTATCAAATATTCTTTAGCTCTTATAAATCTGAGGCTCTTGTGATCATTTAGCCATGTGTTCCCTTTTTTCTTTTCCAGTGAAATTAAATTTAAATTGTTGGCATCTCTACAGTGCCTTGGGAAAGACTTATGGAAAATCGCTCATTTGCCAAGGTGTGTGACAAAGCAACAACTTTCCAAAAGTCTGTCTGCTTAAAACAAAATGAATTTCTGTTCAGTGCTTCAATTTAAATTTCATAAACCAAAACGCATGTATATGAAATGATCAGGAGAGTAAATAATTGTAGCTCTTCATATAAACTGCAGTTTTTTTGTTTGTATTTTTTCCTCTTTTCAGGGAACAAAAGTATTCTGACCCTGAAATGGACTTGATAAACAATGGCAGGATAGGGGATTTAATCATGGGAAAAGAAGGTATAGTTACACTTGTATATTGAATTGGTTGTATTTAAATTATGCAAATTAAATTCTAGATCAAGAGTGTCAAATATAAGGTGCAGGGGCCAGAATTGGACCAGTAATGACTCCAATCTGGCCCACTGGACGGCTTTGGAAAATGTGAAAGATGTAAAACTTTATTTTCACAAGTTTTACAACTTTCCTTCTGATAAACACCTCCCCCACAGTCAACCACACCACACAAAGTAATGGATAAACAATTAGGTGATGTAAAAGTTTTCACTGTCTATTATAGAAAAGTCATTAAAATTGAAGTTAAATGTATTTACACTGACAGAAAGGGAAGTGTCACTGGTCTGGCCTAATTAAGAGGAAACTAGGCTGAATTTGGCTCATGGTGTAAAATGAGTTTGACATCCCTGTTCTAGATTGTCCTTTCACCATGCGGTTCTTTATTCCTCCAACCAATGGAACAAAAACTTTGGTGTCAGGTAAGCTTCTGAGTTAAAAACGTGATAAATTGCGTTCTCTTTCATTCAGTTCATTCAATACAGGTGTCATCGGAGATGTTAAAAGTAATAGATTTTCCTCAAATGACAGACTTGAATCCAGTTGTTCAAGCCGCCCAGGTTACTGTAGTTGTCAGCGATGTGACCCACAAGCTTCAGATGGCATCTGTGGTCCCTCAGCCTCCCCAGCTGGATCCTCAGGGGTATCGGCCTGCTTTCTGATTTTTAATCTCTCACCCAGCGAGACACGTTTCATTTTCCATTTATGAGTGAGTCTGACTGTCACTAGCGTTGGTGTTAATGGAGTACAATTGTGTCCTGGAGCAGTTATCCTGTGTTTGTTCCGCTGAATGAGGTGCCAAATGAAATGCTGCCTGCCTGTTTCCTGCTTAAACTGCAGCCAGCTATGCCCGTGATGCCGTCTTTTGTAAAGAAGCTCAGCCAAATTACAGGTCAGGGAGGCTTTCATGAGTATTGTGTGAAATGGACATGAAACAAAAAGCCTGCTCATTACTGCTGCTCTGTCTCCGATTATTTCCTACATGTGACTGTACCAGATGTTGACCTGCAGTGGGCACCCTTACCCAAGCTTCTCATGAGAGATTCATTAAGCGCAAACAGCTCCTGGGAGATGACATGCGAAAGCAACATGATTTTTACAGTGGTATGAGGATACTATTTATTATAAGTGGAAAAGGTAAAAGAGGGGTTAGTATTTAATATGTAATTTATGCATTTAAAAAAAAAAAAAAAGATCAATGTTTATCCATCTAGACTCTTCCTGGTGGTGTGATGCATAGTTATGTTTTCCCTGGAGCTGCATGGGATGTGCCTGCCCACAGGGGGGCTGTGGTGGACAGTGTTCCCTTCACCCACCCTGGTCATGTCCCAGCCCTACTGGAGGTGCTGCGCCACCAGTGTGCCATTAACACCCTGCTGAGGAGCTGTTTCATATTTCACTGTGCCAGTCCAGGTAGGAGTGTTTTTACATTACAAAACCGGTCGACACAGAGATGGTGTAAAGTGGGCAGCAAACATTGTTGTGCTTAAAATATGTAACGCTTCATTTATGCATCTTACCAGGTTCAGTTTGTGGCCTGCATTTTGAAGTCCTTCCAGAGTCTGACAGCAGCTTTTCTGTGACCTTCCAGCCACCTGACGCTGACTCCCTGGGTGTTTGTGAGCATGAAGTTCATTTCAAATTTGGGAAAAAATTAGCTGTTTTAAAAGTTTATCCTTTTTAATATATCTATTTTTTTTTTTTTACCTATATGCAATAATCAAATGCATATAGGTATAAAGACATGGTCAAGACAACCTGCTGAAGCTCAAACTGAACATCAGAATGGGGAAGAAATATGGTTTAAGTGACTTTTCATTTGGCATGGTAGTACCAATTGGGCTGGTCTGAGTATAAACTGCTGATCTACTGGGAGTTTTTGACATCACCACAGTCAGAATCATGTTTATGGCCAAGTTTGTACACAAATAAGGAAATTTGTCTTGGTGTCAGGGTGCAAAATCTCTAAGTTTTGCAGAGGATGGTCTGGGAAAAGACTGCAGTGAGTGGAAGTTCTCTGGATGAAAACACCTTGTTGAGGTCAGAGGAGAATAGCCAGAGTGGTTTGAACTGATAGGAAAACAATGGTAGCTCAAATAGCCAGTTGTTGCAACCAAGATATGCAGAAGTGCATCTCTGAATGCAGAACACCTTGAAGCAGGTGGGCTACAGTAGCAGATGACGCATCGGGTGCTGCTCCTGTCAGTTATGAACCGAAAGCTAAAGTTGCACAATCTCATCAAATTTGGACAATGGAAGATTGTAAAAACATTGCCTGGCCTGAGTTTGCCTGGTCTATTTTTTTCTGTGACATTCAGATGGTAGGGTTAGAAAACAACAACTTGAAAGCATGGCTCTGATTTCCAGTTTCAGGGTGGTGGGGGTGGTAGTGGAGTAGTGAAGGAGATTTTCTTGACACACTGTGGTCCCCTTAGAATCATTTAAATGTCACAGCCTTCTTGAGTGTTGCTGCTAGCAATGTCCACCAGTGTACCCATGACTCCTTCCAGCAGGACGAAGTGTCATGCCACAAAGTACAAGTAATCTCAGCCTGGTTTCTTGAACGTCATCATATTTCCTGCAGGGTTCGTTTTTTGGCTATAAACATGGTGGTAGATGGACAAATTAAGTAAAAAAAAAAAAAAAAAAAACTGGTTGTAATATCAGTTTGGGAAAATGAACAAGTTAAAGGAATGTGGTGTGTAATTTAAACTGATTTGTGCCCACAGTGCTGGTGAATGTACCGAAACCTCACCAGATTACCTGCAGCTTATTTGGAGCAAATACACGTGATCCTTCCATTAATGAATACCTCTCCTCTGTCATCATGAGGTATGTTTTCTGTCTTTAAGAACCATGCTTACATGCAAATGTTGGTGTAAATGTGATTATTATTTACTCACTCAAGTGTGTGTGTGTGTGTGTGTGTGTGTAACAATGTACAGAAATTCTGCATTATGAAGATCTGTGTGCAGCAGAGTAACTGAATGTAGTTTATTATGCTGATTCATTCATCAGCTACCTGAACAGTGTCTAAACTTTACAGCTTTAACTAGCATAACAAATGTGAGCACATGATTACATGGTAGAATTACAGTAACTCTTTCTCAACCACTAGTACTCATCCTACATTTACAAACATGCTACACACGCCAACAAAAAAGATGCTCTTAATTAAGAGGTTAAACTGTGTGTTCAACACAATGCTTGGCTAACATACCAGCAGCTTCCTTGCTGTTTGTGTTACAACTATAGATTAAACTCTCTTCAGTATGTGTCTTCATCACATTCTCCCGATTCCTCTGTGTTTACATTCTCCCACCGAGCTGCTGCACTTAACCTTTACAGCGCCTGTGTCCCACTGACGTCTCTACTAACACATTGTGACCTTGCACATTTATTTACCTGTGATTTGCTTTCTGTTTAAAGTTCCTGCATGTTTTATTAAGAATATAGATATCTGGTAGCAGACTGTTTCATCAACGGGGTTGTAAGAGGAGGGGATTTGTCTTGTTGCCGTACTGAATTTTAGCTCCACTCCTTCTAGGAACTTTCAGTTGTTTTGTTTTTCTCCACTCAGCTGTATGTCCATCCCTGAGACAATGAGGATGCTATACAACAAGCTCGAGGACATCACCTCTGTCCCACTTTCTCCCAGCTGCTCGGCCACCACAGAGACTGAAAATGACCATTCAGCTCACTCGAGTACAGCTGTGGCCGACACCAGCAGAGCTTTGGCCACTTTCTCCCAAAGTGCAGCTATGCCAAAGGACGGCTTCAGTGTTGCTGATTTAGCACGTTCTGCCCTGACTGTAGCCAAATCTGAATCTATTCTTGAAATAAATTAAAGTCCCTCCACCTCCTCTTACCCACCACCCCTTGTAGACACGTTTCAACACAGGGTAGACAACAGGCACAGCTGATCTAAACGTGCATCCACAGCCTTTATGAAAACTCACGGGTTAAATCAGCCATAAATATGGACCAGAATAACTGGTATTTGTTTTCCGTTATCAGTTAGAGATGCTAATGTGTAACTGCAGAAGGCTGTGTTTGAGTAATTCAGAGTTCATAATCGCATCCATCTCCTGCAGGATGCTTAAATGTCACTTACTATGCATTCCAGCGTGGCAGAGATTACTGGCTGTAAAGATCTGAGGTCTGACATCTGACCTCAGACAGCCAAGAGCCCAGTTGATTGGTACCATGTGAGCCAATCAAACATTGTTAAAGTACATAATGCATTCTTGATGTTTTGTAAGACTCCACACATTTAAAAAATAAAAATAAAGAAAAAATAGCTTTGGTGTAGCATATGATTCAGCTCTCAAATGCATTCTCTCTAAACCACAATTTAGTTTTTGCTTCTTTTTTCTTCTTTGATGTAAATTAGGTTTTGTACAATAAGAGTGACATTTGGCGTGAAAATGTAGGAGTGGAAGACCGATGTGGAATGGAAACTCGGCAGTAAGAAATCTCTTGATTGCTGCTGAGCACAGTAGTGCTTTTTCTGCGCGGAAGCCAACACGGTTTCCAATATAGCACAAATGTGAGTAGTCTGTAAAGAATTAGAAATATTTGCATTCTAACAAAGGGAGGAAATTTAACTTTTTTTTTCACATTCCAAAAGAAATGTTTGAGACAAAACTCACTGGTGCAATATTCAACTAAATCCTGAAGACCTACTGGCGATGTGCATTTAGAAAGGAATTTAACATGTATTAGGAATACGAAGTCAACTGTCAACAGCAGACAACTGGTTTTGTCCCGTGTCTGTACTTCTGCATATCCAATGACCTGTACGGCTGCTATTCATAGAAACATTGTAACATGTGGTTAAACCGCTCTCTTTTTTCAGTGGGCTTCTGTTCTCCGAATATATCAGCGATTATGTGTCCTCACTTCTAACTGGATGGGCATAAATCTGTTGAAGTCGCACCTGGTAGTAATGAGGAGTAGATTCCTTGGACTGTGATTCTTCGTGTACAGTTGGCAAACTCCAAGTGTGCAAAAATGTTTAAAATGAGCGAGCTATTGCAAATAGGTAGAAATGCTGTACTTAAATGTTCCTAAAGCACAGTTTTGGGATGTTGTACGCTTTTATTTTATTTATTTATTTATTTTAACCTCCACATCTCCCTCCCCGGCCTGCGGTCTCTTTAAATCCAAATCCAGTTGGAGGGGAGCTGCGCGTCCTCAGAAAGTTGTGTGGCCGCTGTGATTGCCCGCACTCAGTCTGATAAACAGCTGCTTACCATTTAGGGCGCTTCATAAAATTTTCTCCAAACCCCCCCAAACGGGGTTTTTTTTTTTTTTTTTGGTCCTTTTTTTTTTCGCCGTTCTGAGCCTGTGGATGTTCAGATATAGAAAGTCTGCACCGCTGGAAGCAAGTCTGGGATTCTAGGTTTGCGTAATGCTCAGACGTCCTCTGCTCAACATCTGGATTAACTATTTGGAGCCAGAGCTAACGGCCCTATACGAAACTCTTGACTGTATAGCCTGCTATCTTGATGGAAAGAATCCATTTTAGCCTACTCTGGAATTTAACTTGATGACCCGAGTTGGTGCTCGTAGATTATGTATTCTTTAAAATGGGTGCGAACAATGGAAAACAGTATGGAAGCGAGGGTAAGTGCTTCAAAAATTACTTTTAAACACATTTATGTGAATGCCACTTTAAAACTCGCTCTTTTTTTTATGCAAGTATATATGAAAAACTCCCTTTTTAGTGGGTAAAAGAGGGGCTGTGATATCATCGTCTGTGGCTTTTTTCTTTTGTGTCCTGGCCATCTAAAAATAGAAAATAATGCAGTTTCTTGGGTCTGTAGCTTCCTCGAGCTTGTCCCTAGACGTCAGTTAGCTAGCTTAAAACTAGCACCATCTCCTCGAAGTTGTGCACTATATTTAATCTCCTTTGTGCGTTTTCTGTTTTTATGCACACTTTAATTTACTCCACATGTCTTCGAGATGTTTGGGGTGTGTGCAGTTAAAGCTGGTGGCTACTTTTGCCTTGTATTTTATATTGGTTTTAGAGATGTCACATTTATTCATAAAAGATAAGAGTGACATCTGGCGGCGGTCGTTTTTAATCCCTTTGAAAAGCGGCCTGCTGTGTTAGAAAAGTCAAGTTTGAACAAAATTCGTGTTTTTCTTTTCTTATTCTCAAGGAAATTAACTCATCTCTGCCTTATTGTGTGTTTGCCTTCAGTTAAAAGCATATAAGTGAAAGAAAGCCAGTTTAATAGGATCTCAACATTGCATAACGACTCTGACTTAGCAGGTTCTTGTAGCCTTATCGTTTGTTTTTGAAGATAAAATCTATTCAGGTTTAGTGGAGGTGGTTCTCATAGATGTGGGCACTTAAGTCCAGCTTATCTTGATAAGAGCCAGTATCAGAGATTGCAGTCCACGACCCACAGCCTGGTGTTGTTTGATTTGGAGGCCATTTCATACATGCTAGTCAATTTCATGTTATTTTTTTTGTGTAAAGTCAAAAGTGCACAAGACACAAACAGCTAAATACTGTGAATAATCTTTTCTTAAATGGATTCTCATTGAGACTGTACATCTCAATTTCACTGATTTATTTTTGCTTCACTTCAGTTTTTATTTCAATTACAGTTAACTTTCCTGCAGATGCTGTAAAATGCTGTGTTTGGGCGGAGCCTCAGAAACTGGGGTTCACAGAGGACAAGTAGACATAATGCTAGTTTTTTTTTTTTTCTTGCACAAGTGTTTAGACTTGGCAAAATAAAATAGCCACATATTAATATCAATGACTGACGAGACAAGAAAAATGTTGCATTTCATAGATTAAAAAGCACTTAGAGTACATCACACTTAACGGACAGACAAGTACAGAAAGCTGTTTCAGCTTACAGGAATGCAGCTCGAACCGTCTAAAAGATAACATTAGACCTTGTTTTTCATGACGTTACCACAATCAGAATCAGAATCTGTTCACTCTCATAGAAAAATGCAGAAAAATCTCCAACATGTGGCATTAATGATCCAGGAATTTATCCCGCCTTTTGTCTGTTATCATCAAAAAAAAAAAATAAAAAAATAAAAATAAAAACTTTGTGTTATGACCTATCTCTGCCGTGCAGGTCTCATGTGAGGTCTGATCTTCAGCATTACTTGTTCAGAAAAAAATTGTGGTCGGACTTTACCAAACACATTATTTCTACCTCAGAGCAGAAATGTTTGTATAAATAACATTCCAAGGAGCTCTCTTCCTAAGTCAATAGCTGCAGAGAAAAGGTTGGAATTCATGATGTTAAAAATAACACGTGGAGCAACTCCACCTAGGAATTTAGTCTGTTAAGGTACATGAACAGATTCTATCACAAGCTCAAGGCCTGTACTCAAGAGCTGAAGTTGAGTTGTCCTTGAGCTGTGCAGCAGTCAGAGAATACCCAGACTGAAGAACACCATACTGTGCAGTTAGTATCTAGCACAAAATAAACCAAACAGTTAAAAAAATGTGCTTTTTGTTGATTAAGATTTAAAGTCTTCAACATAAGAAGTGATCTTAAAGTCTTTGACAGGCTCAAAATGAACAATCCTTACCTACGGTGCATACTTCCTTCTTAGTCCCATACTCTACTGATTTATCTATTTATATAATTTTCAAACTCAAGAACATCACTTCAGAAAATGTATCAGCCTTCACAGAACATACATATGCTAGTAATACAAACACTGATGTGTAAAATCAGTAGAATTCCCCTTTAGCAGTAGATTTATGGTTCTGCATTAAATCTACACCGTAGGGGAGTTATAACCGCAAACCCTTCTATAACCCTACGCTGTAACTTATGCCATAACCTGACGTGCAACTCCCTAGAAATGTAAATAGATGTTGCCTCAAGGCCCGTTCAGTAGTGCTGTTTCCTCCTATGCATTGCCAGCTTCTGCCGATCAACTGGAAGAGACAATCTCCACCGCCAGCTCAACGTTTTAGGGACGAGAGGATGCAGATGCAGAGGAACACCATGCATCCTGGCTGTGATGTCACCCACTTGCATAGGATATTTCTGTATAGATCCAATGCAGAATTAAAAATTAAGATTATACCTGATACCAGAATATACCAGAATAATAACTGATGTATTATTTGTTGTACAGCTAAAAATAACCCTTGCATCCTCAGTTTATAAATGGCTGCTTTTCCATCATGATATTAAAAAAACTTGTTGCACATTGTTCTGTAGGTTTTGCCAAAGTTATTGCAGAAAGTGTAAATTTCTGGCAGAAAAAAAGACACTGGGCTCCAGATTCTTTTCACCTGTTTTCAGTGCTATTTGTTGATTTATGTATCTGATATCCCAATATTTTCTTTTACAAAACATTAACGTATTTCCTAACATTTTTTAATGTAGTTTTTTTAGATACATGTTTACAATCTGCCTGATTTGGCTAAGATCAGATGGTTTATGCATTTGGAGAGTTACAAACGTGTGTTGTCAACTGAAGTTGCAGAGTGCCCTCTGGTGGACAAACTGTGCAATGTTAGCACACATAGAATGTTTGAAGGGTGTTTCTCCTGGCTCATCTTTACTTTTTAAATCTTCATTTATAAATGCTAGGCCCAATATATTAGCAAATACTTAATATTGACTCATAATATCAGCTGTTAGATCAATCAGTTTCCAGAGGAATTCTCCATAACAGTCTGTCAAACATGTATCTGAAGTCGTTAAATGCATTGGAGGGGCTGCACAAAATCTGATAGGCTGCCTCAAGTGATGCTGAAGTTGGGCTGAAAGCAGCGGGCAGACAAGCAGTGGATGTGGCAACCAGGGAATGTGGAGTATCAATAAAATTGGGTGATTTGTAGCAATGACAGAGCAAAATGTGGTGTGTACATCTCTGACAGGTGAAATGAACAAATGAATACAACTGACTGACATATGATGGTGATATCTACACAGCCAGAATCTGGAACGCCAATTAGCAACCAGCTGTCAGCTACAAAGTGGTGTGAGATTAGCAAATTACTAATAGTAGGAATAGAGTTCTGTTTTGGGTAATGTAGGCACAGAATAAAAAAAAACAACAACATTTCTGGTTTTGCTGTGTTTTTTCCTTCTGTCGACCTTGGATCCAACAATGTCAGGAGAGTAACGTAAAATTAAGGTAGTATTGCATTGTTATCGCTTGATAGTATCTAAGACCATTGTCTTAACCCAAACTTTAGAATCCTGCAGTCCATTAGTCCACATCTGTTTTCAAGTGTGATTCCACAATTAATTACACACTGGTTGTAACTATGCAGCAACTATCAACCAGCACATTATATAAGCAAA